TATATATATATATATATTTAGACATGTAGATATAGAAAGAGATATATAGATATAGTTAGGTAGGTGGGAAGGTAGATACATAGATAGACAAATAGACGGATAGTCGCTTCGAAAACAGAAAGTCTTTTGGCTTGTGCCGTGATGATGCGGGGAGGTTTGTTTGTGTTGCACCTTTGGCGCTATTGAAATAAAAACAGAAAAATTTGCACTGAAGGCACATTTAAAGAAATTTTTTTTCTTGTGCTGCTGCTAAGCCATACGTTCAGAAAAGTTGCAGTGTGCCGTTCAACTGAGCATCAGCTGCTCCCGGGCGTGATTGCTTGGAAACCGTATTTGACGGTTAGTGGGCGCGGGTTTTGTTGCTGCATACACACAAACTTAGTGCTGCGCAAGTACGTGCAGCGCCACAGCATGTATTTAGCAAAGGAATTTACATAGTAAGCCCTTTATTTGATTGCATTTTCATCTAAATACATTTTTCACACAGTTTATGACGACTTACTTTGGGATCTTGACCAGCTTCCTTCAAACGTTGAATACGAATGTCTCCGAGTTGTTGTCGAAGAGTTGACTCGTCAACGTCTACACCCTTTGTTTTACAGAACACTGCCACTGCCTTTAACATGGCAGTGTCGTATTCGCTGCACTCCTTCTCAACCTGCATGCACGCCAGACGGGGGTGAATATGACTTAAGCTTTACGGACATTTAATCGCATTCTGCAATTCACTCAATCATTTCCACTACCTTCTCCAGATACTGAGGCTACTGCTGCTTCCCACAGCATCTGGCTGCAAAGCCGTGCACTCTATTTACAGAACCTCTTTCTTGCAGTTGCGGCCAACGCCATCACATTTCAGCTCTATGTGTATGAGAGCATCAACCGCGTTCTTCAGCAGGAGAAACAAGTAACTTACCCGTTGCGCTACTTCGCTCATCATCTGCCCAAATTGCCTCCGCTCCCTCTCAAGCTGCTCCTTCATACTCTGGTGGCTGAGCCTGTAGCACTGAATTCTCTTTTCCGCTTCCTAAGGACCCCAAAAACCAGATATTGCACACACAGAAAGCATAGATATGGGCAAAAGGAGATGAGAATCATCTACACCGCTATAGTATACAAGATCGAGATATCTACACAATACTTTTCAACTCACGCGAATCACGAGAGCATCGAATTGCTGGCGTTTGGTGATCATCGCTTTTTCGAGGTTTGCACTGCGCACACAGGGGACCGTTATTGTTACAGATGCCGTTTACCGGTGTTGAGGAAGGGACTTTCACTACATGCATGTTGTACTAAGCTGCATATATACTATACTTTTACAGGTGCCGTGCTGCATTTGCTGCGTTGTCAGCTGGATTGCTCAAGGGGAAGAGTTATTCGCGTCTGCAGACTTGCCATTTGGTGCGGAGCTCTTCGCGCTCAGCTTGTGCTGCTTTGTGAGCTTCTTGAGCCAGTTGACGGTATTCTTCCAGAGCTTTCTGCAAGACATAAGTACGAAATGCAGTCACTATAACATCAGAAGAAAGGTTGCGGGGCAAGGGCAGCCACTGTATTTTCTACCTCTGTCGTAAAAAGCGCAGGTGGAGTGGTTCACGTACCCTCGTTCTTTCCTTCAAATCTTTTTCAAAATTTCTGCAAGCGGTTTCAGCCAATTCTCGGGCTTTTATGCGCTCGGTTTGCACTCTTTGACGCTCTTGACGCGCCGTTTCGACTGCCTCTGTTGCAAGGTTTCTGTATTTCCGAACGATAAAGTCGACCTGCTGAACCAACGTCTGCTTGAGGTCGCGTTTCTCCTTCTGAATTCCGTTGCGGATCAGCTTAAGCTGCCTCTCGTACTGCATGCGCATTTCTGCGTTCCTCGCACGCTCTTCCTCCAATAAGTACTGGAGCTCTTCAGCTGTTCGCGTAGCCTGCAGAAAGCACAACTCTAAGGCATAAAAGGAAATCAACATGTTTCTTTAAAGTGTTCGCACTGCACTTTAGAAGGGAAATATGAAACGGATCAATGCAGGGGCTCCGTACCTTCGTCAGCTGCTGCTGATTTGTCTCGAGCCACCTGAGATATCAGACACAGGGTGCAGTGAAAGGCAATATGCAAAGCAGAGCAAATACCCTTTTGCCGAGCCAACATTTAATGTACTGTATAACAGGCGGCAGTTGGTTGTTCTTACGTAATTTCAGGTTGCATAGGACGGCCTCCCTCGAAGGGGGCGAAAGATTGCTCAGTGCGCACGTTTGCCAGTTGCTGCAGATAGCATCAAATTTTACATTGGGTACAACATATGCACGAGCGCCTACATTACTATTCAACTGTTGTCACGCGGCAAAAAAAGGTGTGAACATAACACATAGGGNGCACGAGCGCCTACATTACTATTCAACTGTTGTCACGCGGCAAAAAAAGGTGTGAACATAACACATAGGGATTGTTAAATTCTGCTTTGATCATGGGCTTGCCGCATATGCTTCGTCAAGCTGAGCCCTCAAGAGCTCCCTAGAGTCTTCTTCACTAGCAATACGCGCAGTGAGCTTCTGAACCAGCTGCGTCAGCTGTTCAAGCTGCAAAAGGAACGGAAGAGGAAGCAAACAAACGAGCCAGCAAATCACATGGTAGGAAAGCGTCAAAAAGCACCAAAATGAAACAAGCAGATACCAAGAGAGGCAAGGAGAGACAATGGACCGAAACAGACGAACAGAGATAGTAGTTGGATACAGACGGGGGGATGATATGAGGGCGTCCACAACTTTGTTGAGCTGTATGCATGCATGCATCCATGCACTGACCTGCTCTTCCACTGCATTGACGCCCAAGCCAAGATCAGCAGGCGGTGTGGCATCTTGCCCATCGTCGGCCTTCGGCGACTTCATGGGTGCCGGGTCGCCCGCACTGTCCAGAGTGCAGGGCGAGCTGAGGCTTTTAGACATNTCGGCGACTTCATGGGTGCCGGGTCGCCCGCACTGTCCAGAGTGCAGGGCGAGCTGAGGCTTTTAGACATCGTTGCTAGAAAATTGTGAGCTACAGTGATCGTCTTGTTTGTTCTTCGCCCATGGTTACAGCAGCCGATACAGACCCACTCAGCCGAGGCGGCTGGCTCACGTGCACTATGTTGTGCGGTGGAAGGCCAACAGTGATGAGATATTTGACTATTTGATGAAAGGTTTCGAAAGATAAAGTTTGTTCTTCATTCGTGGGAGTTGATATGGTAAGATCTAGTCCTCGCATCGCATCTTGATCAGCGGCTTAGACTACACGCAAAACTGATGAGCTGTACGGCCCTGTACTGTGCCTGTTGATCAGTGCGACGCTACTTCGGGATCAACAAAAATTAAATGACTGCTTATATTTACTTTCGATGGCAATCAGAGCCGGAAAAGGGGCAAATGCGGCCTGTCGTCTGCACAACGCATGACCACACGATGACCGGGGGCTGATCGCAGGCCAGCGGGCTCCGTGACCGTTAAAAGTTTCTCTTCATTTCACGCGCATTTAAATTGTGTTGAATAGAAACTCATTTTATATGTATTAGTAGATTATTATTTTCCCACTTCCTCCCATTTACCGCCAAGACGCAGTCCTCCTCTGCATATCTTGTAAGAGCGATGTCGGCGGCGCTGCAGACCACCAGCATTGGAGACAACTTTCGCCACACGCCCATGCCAGCTCCGGAATGAAACTGTGTTTGGTTAATATCCGC